AGCATAGAATGGCTATTAGCCGGGCGTGGAATTATTGCATTTTATCTAAATTCATTTGGTACTATTCAAATCTGTACATTACTAATGAAATGTTGTACTAATTGTTTTACAATGACTGTATTTTTATACATAATAATAATAATAATAATAATAATATAATACACTGGAGGAAATTGTTTTCTATATTTGTTTAAAATATGTATTTTTTCATAATCTCCTTTTTTAAAGAATTTACAATACATAATTATAATATATTTTATACGTACAAATCTGTAATAAATCCACTCACGTATACTTTTTTAATATTTAACCAGTTCATAATATAAAGGCAGGTGACCGTAAAACATTTAAAATTTTAATTAAATGTTAATTGATTTTGTCACATAATCAAAAACGGTATAATATAATATTAATACAATATAACAGTACTCGTAATACGTATAAAGTAATATATCGTAAACATTTTATTCGTATTATAGTTTTTATACTATTAACATTGCTTATAATAATATTATCAAGATGTCATCAAAACTCGGGAGGTGCTAGAGGACTATTCGTAACCAGTTAAGTTCAAAATCGCATCACAAAAATTCAAACTTTGATTAGTTTTTAAATCATAACTACAACTTGTCGATTTTTCATATTTATTGTCCACATTCTTTGTGATTAATTCCAAAAAAAAGACGAATTCATAAAATTGGTGTAACTAAATTGCCTTTCTAAAACGCCGTGCCTATATCGTTATTTTATTGTTGAATCGTAATAAAAAAAGATAATTTTACCTCAAAAAAACTCATAGTTTAAAAATAGTTTAAAATATTTATTTACATATAATTAAAATAAATTTCTTGTTTGAACACCGTCTCCTCTTCCTACGAAAAATATTTTAGTTGCTTAACTTATCCAGTTTATTATACTGTTAATATACTATATTAAGTTTATCATTTTGTACACATAATTTTAATTTACCTTATTTATAATTATACGTAAAAATGATACAATGTGCCTTAGAAATGTTCAATTCGTATAAATTACAATAATTTATTCTGAAAGGTTTATGTACATCTGGTTTTAAAAATTAAGTATTTTTGTGTATACAAGCTTAGATGCGTTCAAATAATAAACTCAAATCACTACAAGTAATTTATAATCGTTAGACTGTAAGAGTTTCAGCTATTTCATAAATATTCATTTGGCGACAAATTAGTGGGCTTTAAATGCATTATTTCAAAAGAGTATAAATTACTAATAATTTGTACGTCTTTTCATTTCAACTAATGTTTTCCTTTGTTCGGAAAAACGTTTATCGTTACCCAATATTTACGATAAATATTATATCATAATGCGATATAACGTATGAAATGGTATGAATGGTGATATTATATGGTTCTGTTGTTTGTCATCAAAATGTTAGTTCATTATTGTATTATATAATATCCTATAAATATAAGTTACTTTTATAATAAAAAACACGTGTCACGTGGGTAATTGATAGGTAAATACTACACGTACACTACATTATACCTACTGTGTAATGGAAATTTGAAATACACGTACACGATGGAATTATGTTAAACCAAAGGGTTTCTGGGACTACACGTGGTGTAGTTTCACACAAACACTACCAAAAATAATATATAATTATGCCAATAGTTAACTGTAAATCTCGAGTAGAACACAAAGCGTTCATCATAAATTAATTAAATTTTGTATAATTGCGCAACGTATATCTTGACCGTTGTTCATACGTCTTATACCTATTAAAGTGGGTACTACAGAATACAAGGTTATTAATCTTATTTTAAAATTAAATAGTTAATACATTTTATGAAAAAATATTGATATTATAAGTAATAATATTTCACACAGTTTGAATTCATTTCTAAATGATTTTTCTAAAAGAAAATATTCTATTTTTAAGTTTTTTTTTTTAATTTTATATTTCTAAGTAACATTTGGTATTTTGATTTATAAAAATTTAATTTTAAACGAGTAATTATTAATTATTTATAAAACTTAAGGTTTAAGTGTTTAAAGTTTTAATGAGTTGAATGAAATGGCATTGTTTATTGGTACCCTAAAAAATGGTCGTTCTCTACTCCATTCATCGAAATTTTAAATATTTAGTTTTAACCTACGTTAAATTAACTACTTATTTAAAATACAGTTTTTATGTATTAAAATTCAACAAAAAATATTTTCCGTAAAAATATGCGATAAAAAGTATACCATATTGTTCAAAAATGTTGAAAGTTAAAAAAATCATTTTTCTAAAACTTTGTTTTGTAGTTAATATTTTAAAATCGTTAATACTTTTTGAGAATATGATTATTCACTTGTATGAAAAAATTATTTTGTATAATATTTTAATGCATTATTATTACTATTATTATTTTATTTTTATCATTTTTAAAAATAATTTAATATTATTTTAATAAATGTATTTTAGCATTAACGATGAGATTATTAGCTAATGCAATAACTATTATTTATAGGTGTATTATTTCAGCTAAAGGTTCAAAGTTACTTTTACAAATTCAATAAACGTATTGATGATATTTGTTTAAGGTGAGAGGATTTCTCGTGGAGTTTCTAAAAGTTGATTTTATAGTGGTAGAGGCATTCGAAAATTATATTTTTGACTGTGATGATTGGTATATTGTACAGCAAGTGTCCGTGTATGACAAAAGTTTTACTTATTTGAAGCCAGAAAATAATCATATAACCACGTCTTTTCTAGATATTATGGCTGGTTAGGAATACGGTATGATATATTATTATTTTTATATTTTATTGTACTATAATAGTACAATAATATTGTTGTCGAAGTTTCTAGTCTTTATTAAAAATTCGCGAACGAAATTTTTTACGAAAAAAAAAAATCGTTCTACACGCAACAATTCTCATAGTGAACATTCTTGACAGTTACTTTTGTGCTCCATCTTTTCGATCATGAATTGGACGTATATTACATTTTGGTGTGTTAAAATTACAAAACGTTCATATATATTTTTTTTTTTTGATCTTATACTATAAAACAAATGTACAGAAAAAATAAAATGAGATTTGTGGAAATCGTTTTTACAGTTCATCGATGATAAATGGCTCTTGGAATTTACGTGACAACACTTGTCTAGGACACATACCAACACATCTGTTGCCATGCATTTAATATACATACTTGCAAAGCGTGAAATCGGTTTATGAGTTTTTGTAATTACATTTTCATTATAATTTATAACTCATAATATAACTTTTTTTTTGTTTTTTAATTATTATTATTTCTCTACTATTACGAATAAGAAATATAATTAATAATAATTTGTATATTTTAAATTTCTCTATAAAATGAAAACAAACAAATTATACTATTCTATTTTTTGATGTGTTATTTTATTTTGAGTAATAATTTTTTTTTTTGGTTCCTATTATATTATTAAAAGTATTTATCTCCAAAATATTATTTTTTAAAGTGCTAATTTTTCATTTTAGTGCACTTAGTCTTACCTCCATAATTTATTCATGTATTTAAAATTAATTCTAATATTAAGTTGAATAATTATAATTAATATTATATAAATAACTTTATACGAATTAAAATTATTTTTACATGATTACAAAAAAATAGTATGAAAAAATAATTTACTAAAAACTATAAAATATTTCAAATTAATTGTAATTACTATTTCAAAACTAGTCATATCAAGTCTTTTGAATTTATTTTTTGTAGAAGTTTATTACTCGTTATAATTTTGACTCAAAAATCTAAATTTAATGAATATTTTCAAAAAAGTTTATTATAGGAAAAATAATTTATGTAACAAATACAATAGTTTTTATAACTTATCCCATCAAAAATTTTTTATCCTTCATAGAAATTTATAATTATTATAATAAAATTCAGTGTTGTTAGTAATATTTGACTTGTTCGGAAATCCTAAAGATTTAAACGTAAATTATTTCCTAAATCAGAATTATAAAAAACCACGTTTATTTAATTATATAAATTTAAAACGAAAGTGTAATTAAATTGTTATGATCGGTATCAATTTGCTACTTAATATGCAGTATTAATTCTTTTAAATTTATTTATTATGTCATGATTATTATTAATTACGTATAAATTTAAAATAATATGTAAAAATTTAATTGCAAAATGAATAGATAGGTCACAAATTCATTAATTTCAATAATTTTCAGCTTTTTTCCATTAATTCTTATTTGCTATCATATATATGTGTATGTGTGTGCGTAATTTATCATACACATATGAAATATGTTCTAAATCACCGTATAATATCTTACAGTACAACGTTCAATTAACGATCCGTCTTCCTACCACCATAACGAGGTTATATCGCGTCGTATGATAACGCGTCACATCTATAGAAAACGTCATATACTTATATATACGTATATATTATTTCATGCAATCCGAGCCTCAGGGTCTCCTCGGAGTCATAATTTTCCGCGAAAAACTACAAAAATATCGCATAGGTATACGCATATAAAATATATTTTATTATATATATTATACACGTATAGTGTATGGACTATATATAATTGTACAGTACATATTATATATTTATTACGCACGTTTGATATTATTATTTTATTCGGGTAAGTATTTTCTTTCTTATTAATAAATAATTATTATTATAATAATATACCCCAATCGTTTTGCCATTGATCCGACCCACTGTTGTGCCGTCGAACCATCGAAACCATTATATATAGTTCACCTTACACAATGAGTATATAGATGATAGTTGACGACCATATAATATTATATACATCTACATTGCACGATTTCCCGTAATACTCGCGTAAGCGTGGGTGGGTTGCGCGCGCGCGCTCGTGTGTGTGTGTGTGTGTATGTGTGTGCGTTTTTTCGTCCGATCTCCGTTCCGTTTTTTTTTTTTTGCGCGGCCACGCGATGCCGAGAGGCGCTTGCGTCCCAGTGGGTCCCGCCCGCAGATAAATGAGCAGGATTCGGTCGCGGAGACGTCACAAAGTATTCGCGCCGCAAGTCGTCGGTGGTACACGGGTACAGCCGCAGCATCCGCATCGTCGTCCTGAGCCGCACGCTACGCAAGCACGCCGCAGTTAGCCGGCGCCCGATGAAAGCCGCAGCGATCCTGGCCGCCTTGGCCTGCCTACTCGAGGTAACCGTTACGGACCGATTAATATGTAACACGGATTTACCGAAGTAAACCCCATGTCAAACGGACTCGGTTTGTCTGAAATAAAAATATTTAGTAACGTGTTTGAATTAGGAATGACGTTCGATAAAATTATAAAACGCTCGCAGTCACTTCATGGTCAAAACAATATTATAAAAACCGTTTGAAAATAAAATGAAATAAAGAATGATTATAAATAAATAAATCTTAGGCGTCAATTCAAATATTAAATATAAAGTGTGTTAATTCGTGATTAATGTCAATGTATGACATTTATGTGATAACTGTATACATTTGAAGACAACAACTTGAATTTCAAATTCGAATTCGTATTAAATTTATAATCTGCCTAAGTTTGATTGATTCGTTAATCACATTATAATTAAATTGTTGGCTTACCGTTATTGATTATTTTCTTAATTTAAAAACTAATTTAAAATATAGATTCTAAGTAGAGTGATGAATGTATTATTGTTTTACTATAGTGTGCTTTTGTAAAAAAAATGTTGTACTTATACACCTGTCTTTTCATTTGCATTTTTGCAATTTCCTTACATCAAGAATGGTTTTTGTTGCAAAACGGAGCTAATTGGTATTTTTAAAATTTACTTTAACTAATAATCGGGAAAAACTAAAAAAAAAAAATGATAATAAGACAAAATGAAAATATATTGAAACAATTCACGCTTTCTAGACATTGTATAATTTTATTGACTCTTTTGACTATTTATAGACCTTTGAAATAATTGACTTTTATTTATTTTAAATTTTGATGAAAAGGTTTATATTAGGTTAAATAGTTTGAAAATTTAATTCAAGGTTCATTATAAATTATTCTTTCTAAAGTTTAAAAATAGTTTGGTTTACATTCATTTCAACAGTTTAAAATTATAATTTTTGAAATTCATCAAATTCGTAAATATTTGATAATTAATGTATTGTTAAAAATACGTACAATTTTCGATATTAATACTTCAACCTACTTAAAAATGTTAAACAAGATTTCTTATACGTATTTCTTACTAAAATTTAAAAACAAGTTAAACATTAAGTATTTTAATATTAAATTTTTATGTGTCTTTGAAATAAAAGTTTTTATGAAATTAATATTCGAGCGTATAAAATAATGTTTGAGGATACAAATAATTTTTATTATTTTGATATTATTCAAAATATATAAGTCGTTTTAAGCAATAAGTATACATATTTTCATATTTTTATAAATTTTACGGTCACTTAAATTATCATTTTGTTTAACATAGGCATTTTCAAAATAATTAGACTTATATTAACTAAATGTATTTAAACTGTTATACATGTATAAATTATCTAAAAATGCAGGGTTTAAAAAAGAGAATAATTTACGATGTTGCAGTTTTGTATATGCTAATAACATAAAGTAAATAGTTTTATGTTAAAGAGTAATGAATTGTAATTAAAATACTCTAAATATATTGTAAACCCTAAAAATTCTTTTTGTAAACCGTTAATAGAAATGGATTAGCTTGCTTAAATACTTTATATTTTACCTTAAATAGCTACAATAAATATAACATGCCATTCATACAAATATTATTACAATATTAATAGTGCTCAAAAAAAAAAAAACATTATCTAAAATCATTTTGAAAAAAATAATTTAAAAACAAATATTTATTCACGTATTTTATTTATAAAAATTCTGATTTAAATAGAATCTTATGCAATAATTATATGTGATGAAATGTTAAGTATAGAAAAATTTTGAAACCTGCTTGATAAATTAATGTATTACCCGACGATGGAGATCAAAAAAATATTTCAACAACATTGTTGTTATAGACGCTATTACTAGTGTATCAGACAATCATTAATGACTTAATGAATCAATAGACAATAGTAAGCTTATGGTTCCTTAAACATAATTTAGTGGGCTATGGTTGGTCAATTATTATTAAAAGTGAATCATTAAATTAATAAATTCTTTTTACTACTCAGTATATTTTTTATAAAAAATTTCTAAAACTAATTAGTAAACAAAAGAGAATTTCCATGATACTTAAGGTACTTATGGTTATTTATCAATTACTTTAATATTATTACGGTTTCTGTTTTAATATATATTATGTCATTCAAGACGTAGAATGGAGCTTTTAATATTGTTCTTTTCGACTGAAATATTCAAATTTTAATGCGATTGGGCATTTAAGCAGTAATCCATAATTGAATCTTATAAGACCAAATTACTTTGAATAGTAATTTTTAGACATTTAATTACATTTATTTAATTGTTCTTGATTTTTAAGAGATATTTTAAAAAGTCAGATCTATATTTTAGGTATAAGAAAATACAAAAACTAAAATTTAAAATTAATAAATACTTTATATTATAAAAATTCGTCAGATTTATTTTCATATGAAATTACCTCACATAATATATTATTTTATTATAGCATTTCGTAGTTCTTCCATATCACAACTCAAGTATGAGAAATATAACTTACACCTTTTGTGAAAATATTTTATTATTTTTAACGTATTAACTTATAGTAATTTTGAAAAACAGTAAGTGTACAGTATAAAATTGTGTAACAACTTGTGTAGGGTTATTTCATAACAATATAGCGTTGTTATGTACAACCATATAGGCATAACTACTAAACTCTTTTATTTTTAACTGAAATTTCCAATAATAGTGTAAAGCAATAAACACAAATCTGAATTTAAAAAATATATATATATAATATATTAGTAGTTTTCTACTGGAAAATTTAAAATATAAATCAGATGTGTATCCACCTTCTAATATAAAAACGAATTGACTCAGCTATAAACTGTGGAGCAGCCATCTAGTCGATTATGTTTATTTAACTAGGGAAGGATAAATATTTAATACCAATCTAAAGAGTAATAAAAATAAATTAATTTTAGTTTCCAAAATGTATAATTTAAAAATTATATTTTTAAACGTACTTGACAATTTAAGATTTTTCTTTTTAAATTTACAAAGAATTCGTCTGTCTTTGAGAGTATATATAATTATATTTTATATTATTAATATTTTATCAGAAAATTAAACATATTGTTTTAGCCTAAATCTGAAGTAACATAGTTTATATATACTATTCAATAATAAGAAAAATATTATGTTCCATATATTTTCCTTTATTTTTCCTATTTACGTAATAATTGGTGTCTCTATATGTCAATCGTCTAAGTAACCCATTCGTCGACTTCAATCCCTTTTCCTCAAATCTTTTCATCGATTTATTACTTTTAAGGTAAATAATTTATTTTATTTTCCAATTCATAATTTAACCATTCATTACATTTAGGTTATTTTTTAAATCTTAAAATAATCAATTATTACAATTACCTATTAATAAATATAAAGTTTATTTAAATAATCAAATTAAAAATAGTAATAATTTATAATAGCTTAGAAAATAATATTTATTTATTCAATAAAATAATAATTTAAGTCCATCATTTTATATTCTATAAAAATCTTAAAATTATAAACGGTACAAAATAATATAAATATTATAATTAGGTATGCGCTTTATATTATATCAATAATATTCAATATAGTATTAGAATTATTTTATTAGGAAATAATATAACATCTTATTTAAATTGTTTAATTTAAAAATTAATTTTTGAATTCAAGTAAAAAGCACGTAATACTTTATTCACTCAACATTTTAAAAATCAACGTAGAAGAAGAGTAAAACTAGAGATTAAAAAAAGGTGTAATGCAAATATTTTAGAATATCTATAATTAATTATGAGTTTTAAAATGTGTAATTAATTTTACTGATTAAATCAAAACATAACAAATTAATAATAATTACGTTTTTATTCTGGTTAATAAAACACATGTATTTTTTAAAAGTATTAACTAAATTTATATTACAACTAAATACGAGGTTATAATATAATATAAATATGATTAATAATTAAACATTTTTTTTTTAACTTTATTTTAAAAACAAACAATCTGTAATTAATTTATTACCTACAATAAGCCTGTATGTAATGACATGAGATACGCGAGAATAATAGCCAACCAATGACAACACTTTACTTGGGGATTTGGTTAGTTTTAATCATGAATTTTAATTATACACATATGTTTATTCTTTTTTAATAATTATACATAGATGCATTACATTGAGAAAATTTTGATTATTTACTACGATGGTCTTAAAAGGTAAGTACTTAAGGAATTAAGCAAAAACAATTAATTACATTTTTTGACATTTTGATGTGACAATTTAATACTTTAATTTATAGAAATAAACAGTTATATATGAGTATTGATGATGATATTTAATTTATTTATTGTTAATTATTTAAAAATTATTTACTGCACAAACGAAAATAAATATTAAGCTTTGCAAAAACAAGAAATACTTATATTTTTAAACTGATAGTATACGTATATCATTCCTGTTTTAATAATAATTTAAATTTATATTTTATAATTAGTAGTGTCAGGTATAGTTTTATCTAAATAAAATACTGGTTAATAAATTTAAAATTAAAAAAAAAGATAAATAAAAATAACCCTATACACTACTGTTATGAAAAATTGTTTTTGTAATATGAGAAAACTAACAAAACAAAAATATAAGTAATAATATTTTAGTTAGTATATGCAACAAAGTTTAATATTAATTTTGTAAAATGCTAATGAAAGATAACTACATATTTTATAGATCCATGTAAGAAGCTTATAAATATATTAATTGTACCTATTTTATTATAAATCAGAAAATTTAAAAGCATTTTTAAAAAGTCATTAATTAATTCAAAAAATAAAAACCTCGACAGTAGATCCTATTGCAGACAAATGTGCTCCTATGTTCTGTCTGCATAGGACATTCAATGAGAGCAGTATCTATACGAAAAAAATCAATTAAAAAGGCAATTACTTCATATTGTAGGGGAACCGATTTAAATCGTGTCACTTTTATACCATAGGCTGCAATCAATATATTTTTACAACCTTCCGTTTAATTTGAAATTTCAATGAACTATGAACCAATTTTTAATTAAATATTTACTATAATACACAAACACGCATCATAATACATTTATTTCATATCACATAATACAATAACTTTATATAAAATCAGTTGTATAAATCTGAACGATTTATGTGTCTAGTTGAAAAATCATAGGTATCTTTTAACTACACACTCTTCGAATACATTATATTGTGTATGCAGTATATCATACGCCTGATAATTAATCACTTAATTGTGAAATTATTTATTTAATATAAAAAACACGAGTATTATTTAATATTTTATGAAATAAAATAAAAAAATATTTAACATTTTTTTTTTTATTCATAATTATTATCATATCCTCTTTTTTAAATTACAAAAATAAAATAACCAAAAATAATAAAAACTAAGTAACGTGATATTCATACTACATTGGATAACACAAATTTGTTGACTAATATTAGAACTTCTAATAAGAACATTATCAAATACCATTTGTGTTCAAAATTCAATCTACAAATATTATTTAGTGAATCTTATATATGTATGTTAATAACATTCAAAAAATTCTATACCTGCCACCATATTAATATCTATAACAGAAAAAAACTACCATTATAAAATCAATACACATTTCTCAATGCACTCAAAATCTAAAACTTTAAAAATATAAGAATAAATGTGAAAAATATTCCCAAAGGATAATGTTAAAATATTCTTAAATTGAAAATCTACTACAAGAATACCTTTGATATAAAGGTTATTTAAAAAAGAATGTGTGAATAGATCTAAGATTCGAAACTCAACGTCAGCGATTCCATTTGAATGGAGAGCTAACCATCATATTTCGGCGAACAAAAATATGATAATCGAAAAATAAATATGTATAACATAAGTCGAGTTCTTATATTGGTATGTACCTATGTAACATATGTATAGCGTATATAAAATAAAAATGAGATGAACACTTTTTTTTTTTAAATAATACATTTATCATTTAACACAGTCGTTCAAAATATAAGTAGGCAGTTCATTTATTCTAATTGATACTTATATATAATAATATTATATGACATATTTACATATTACATAATAATATACTGAATCAACAATTCTTATTTTATTATAATTTACAATAGTAACACAAGAATTATTATGGATAGTAATATTCAATGTAAGAGTAAAAATATTTTATATGTTAAAAAATTGACATCATTTGTCTAAACAATTTACACTTAACGTTAGGTGTAATACCATGGAATGTATGTAAAGATATACTTCAAAGTAACCACCAACCAGAGTAACGGATGACCCGACTTTTTTTATAGTCATGGAATGCAACCCCTACGTAACCATTTCAATGTAACAATGTTTAAGTAATAAAAAAAAATAAGAACCTACCCAAAACGTAATATTAGCCCAAACTTGACATGTGGGTTATACAGTTTTCGTGATAAATGGAACGTCTTGGGGAGCGCATAATACAAGACTAAAATTTTGCGGTGGTTTTTGAAAGCAAAAAAATCCAATTTTGTCTATCGTATAATATGTTGAGGGTTATATGTTATGGCAGGTCTCGCATGCATTCCCGTTCAATTTTAACAAGAGGAATTTAGATTCCCTAGCCAGAACCGGACAATTGCCAGAATATAAACGATCACTAGCTTCATTGGCCAAAAGTGGACAATTACCTGAAAAATTGGTTCAAGAGAAACGAATGTTGGACGTCTTGGAGCAAGCAAGCGATGCAAACTCAAAGGCCATCCAAGAGCAAAGAAATCGGGTAGTAGAGGTACTGTGAAAAACAATTTTTATTTTATTTTTTATAATATCAAACAATATGCGTATCAATGATTCATCATAAATTAAATAATATTGAAACCTATAAATAGCATTATTGACTTTTGATTTATAACTCGTGTCAAACATAATGTTATTGGTACCTAATATTATTACTTTATAATAAAAAGTCGCTATTACAATTTATTTATAGTAGCAATGTATCAAAATATTTTATATAAATGTTATTCGATTGTGCAGAATAACACTATATGTAATAATACGATATTCGGAATTTTGACATTCAACAGTTTCACATTCAATATTTTTAAAACACAAACATCAACATCGATCATGGCGACTAGGGAGTAACGATAACAGTTTTGAAAGTATACACCTCAATCACCATAACGAGTTAGCTATTATTTTATTAATTGAAAAGTTAGTTATCCGTTATGAGTTTAATTGAAGTAATATAAAAAATTAAATAGGAGTATATCAATGTATTTTAAAGTTAAAAAATTATAACTTAAAATTTTGTTTAAAACTTCATAACTCAATGCCAATTTGGAATTAATTGGTTATTTTTTTTTTTATTTTTTTTTTGAATCATTATCATAAAATGTTATTAAACATTAACTAAAATGTTTTTGATTTATTTTATTTTTGTATTAATATTATAACATATTATACAGCTTTATATTATTTGACATATCTTATAAATAAAAATACTTCGGAATGAAAAATTTAAAATTCCTTGATGTCAGATGTTATACAACCATATAATATGTATACATTATGAAAAAAACATTTTTAATACTTTTATACAATATATACAATATGTTTTTTTTTTTATTGATATAAAATTGTAGTCTCCTCTTTATAGAATCATAAACGACCCCATAATTTTAACATTTATCTAAAATTATTGAGCATGTATGAAAATAAAAATGTAATATAAAATAATTATTAAAAATATCAATAAAGACTTTAGTCATATTTTTCAAAAATATTTATGAGTTTATACGTAATTTATTTTAATAAATACTTTTAATATATATTCAATGTTTATGCTATGAATTAAATATTTTCATAAATATTTTTGATATTCATGTTTAAATTTTAGTAATAGTTTAGTATTCTATTATCATTATAACTTATAAGTTATAATTTACACTTGGTCCAATTACAATAGAATTGGAAACATTATTTTATAAATGTATAGTGTGTATATAATTTTATTTATTTTAACGTATTTAAAAAAAACTCTTTTATCTAATTGTCATAGCCATTAATTTTTGATTATTATTTTAAATTATTTATTTATATTTTTAAGGAGATCAAAAATTTGGCATTAACTGGGGTAATGAAAAGACAAGCAACTTCCGAGCCTGATTTCCGTGACGAATTTAAATCGGACTTGAGGAGCATATTGGACCAATTTTTGGAAAAGTTTGGGACGACATATGATCCAGAAAAGGTAGAGCTGTTTTTGACCAACATGGCCGACGAAGTGTTCGAAAACCATGGTGTAGTTTCGTTAGATCACATCCGATTCTTAATCGAGACTGGTTACTTCCAGCCGGAAATGCGCGAAGAAGACGATGTAAAACCAGCTGACGGAGATTCATCGCCAGACGACTATATTGCTAAACGATTCATGGGCTCGTTAGCCCGGAACGATAACATGCCGTTTTGGTACAACAGCCCGAGGTACGTCGCCAAGCGGTACATTTCTTCATTGCTGAGACAAGGAAGATTGCCTTATGGATTCCAACCCACCACAGAGTCGTCGACGAAAAACCAAAACTGGAACTTACAAAATGGCCAAAAACCCAAAAGGAGTGACGCAACATTTCAAAATAGTGAAGAGTTTATACCCGTGATGCAAGGTAGCAAAAGCTTGCAAAGTATTATTGATGACTTGATACAAGATCCTTTGCAAAAGAGATACTTGGGTGAGTATATATTTATGTGATCAATGACATTATCGTGATTAATAACAGTTATTGAGTAGTATTAATATGTTGCACATTTGTGAACGTAAATAAATGGTTTTAAACAAACGTAAACAATACAGAGACAATCATATCAGCATTGATTGGACAATAATAATAAAAATAGTAAGAATATTCGTTTTCTGTAGAATGAGAAGCGGAGAACGGGGAAATTAAAAACTATAGAAGATACTTACTAAGTTTCTTCGTTTGACTATTCGCTTAACGGTTAAAATATATATTTATTTTATTTTTTAACATATTTTTTTAGTATTCAAGGTCTTATTAAATTAGTCATTTATTTGTTTATAGTTTTTTTATTTTCACAGAGAAGTGGAATTTAATAAAATACACGCGTATAAAAACCATTATATACGAATACATGTGTGCGACATAATTTAATTTTTTAAATTTACATTCTGTGTACGCTTAGTCTATGAATTTTTATATCTAGTGATGAAAAAGCCTGTTGAGTGTTATATACGACTAAATCTTGTTTACAGTCTATGGAGTTTGACAATGAATTGAACTCTGATAATGCTCGAGTCTTTGCTTGCATACGTAAAACGTTTGTTTTCTACCTAACATATTGAGTAGGTAACAATTATTATCGGTTTGTTTAAAAGGTTACCTTATGGCAAATACATAAATAGGTGCATAAAACCTTGTGCGTTAAGCAAGCAAGGAGTTACAGGTACAATCACTGAAATAAATAGTAGATAATTATTGAAATAATATTTTAGCCGTAAAACTATCAAAAGGTAATAACAGTATTAAGTCATCTGTCGGTCATCATCAGAGTTCATTTCGTTTTAGATAGATGTTTTAAGTATTCATAATTTGCATGCATGTTTTCGTAATCTATGTTGTTTAAGCCTGTAAATTAAGAAGTAAATAATCTTCAATAAAATATTGAGATTATAGATATTTATTACGAATTTAGTTTACTAAAAGTAATCATTTGTAATCTACGTTATAATAGAACTAAATACCAACTAATATAAAACTTCAGATAAGCATTATGATTTTGTGATGAAGGAATTCTAACAAACATAAATTATATAAATACATCTAATATAAAAAATGTAGATTGGAGCTATAAATAGATTAATTTTACAATGATATGTGTTTTTTTAAATGGCTGTGTATCTACATAATATAATCGTTGTTTAAGATATTTAATCAATAGATATTTCACAACGTTATAGATAACGTCTTTATTAAAACAAATAATTATATTAGAGTGTTTAAATATTTATATTTTATTGAATAATACCCTCAAAAATTATAATTACATATACATTTATAATTACAACTGTATGATTTTACGTTTATTTAAACTTTAAAGTAGGTATCATATTATTTTGAAACTATTAATTAAATAATTTGTTTTAAAATAAATCATAAGTTCTTCTTTTCTTTTTTCCGTACTTATGAGAAGTACATTACTTTATTTGAAGCAAATTGTACGAGTTTAATAAATGGTAACTTATTTTAAAATACATAACTCTAATTTATCATTTTTATCTTAAAAAAAGTCAAGTTCATATAAGATGATTGCAAAACGCCATTAATTCCTCGAAAAATCAAAAAATCAAAATCAAAAATAACTAAGATAAATAGATTTTTATAACTTTTATGTCCCAACACGAAAATACATGAAAGATCAAGCACATAGTAGATCTTTTGAAGTATATAGTTTTTTTTTTGTGAATAAATCATATTATGTATTTTTATATATTTACTTAATACAAAATTTATTTGGATATATTATACATAAATGAGATAAAGTTCAACGCGTAAATCCCAATATTACAAAATCGAATATTATTGTACGTAGGTAAGTGTAATACGTGCCGTGGAATATTTTATTATATTAAACACGATAATAATAAGAGACGAAAAAAAAATAGTTTTATGACAAAGACATTTTTATTTTCGATTTTTCATGAAGCATAATAAAATAAAAATAAAAAAATCGTTAAATTCTCTGATAAAATGCAATAAAGTTACAAAGCTTAACATTAAACATACCGTTGTTTTATTAATCGGGATAAATAACTGGAAATCACGTTGAGATTTGTCGGGCGACACTTTTTCATTCGTTACTGAAATAATACTTATATTTTGTTATTATTTTCTCGGAGTAACTACTTTTAGTTTTGTTGGACAATTAATAAACTATTTACAACGCGATGATTTTTGTTACCAAATAGGTAATAAATGACGAGTTTATATTTTGTGCTTAGTTTGTAGTTTGTACATAGCTTGAAAGCAAAGAATGCAACTCGATTCAAGTTTTCTGTGTAACATATAATCTGATAAATGTATTATAACCCAATAACATATACCAACTTCATAACCATAATATGTATATATTATACGGTCTATACATAAGTATACCTATTATACCTTGGGCAATATAACGTTCTATGTAGTACATAATGATTAAGTGTTGTGTTTATTATTTGTTATTTATTTTTTTTGTGATAACCGTATACACTGTTAATGGTTATCGGAAAAATTTAAATGTAGTTTGGATTATCATGTGATAATATTACGATTTACGTGTATTGTAGACTTTGTTTGTACCTACTTATACATAATAAACTATATCAGACTCCGCATTTTCCTCTTCTTAAACGCCTACTTATATAACGTCTATTATAGTATCATGTGTGTCGTAGAGATTTGTTTTTGCTGTCTCGTGTTTTCTCCATATTTAAATATTATGCATTCTATGAGTAGTCGTATTTTTAAATTGCATATATATAAATAATAATAATGATAATATAATACTATCATCCATCATAATTTTATTCATATTTACAAGACCGCAACATTTAAAGTCAACCGTGTGTTTTTTTTTACTGTCGTGTGCGCCAATGACTGACTCTCGATGCCGTGCTCGTGTGTATGTTATGTATGTATGTATGTATGTGTGTGTGTGTGTGTGTGTGTGTGTGTGTGTGCGTGCAGGTGCGTTGTCACGCAGCGGTTGGATGCCTAGAGGATTCACTTCAACATCGTCCCGGTCACCGGCTTCATATCACTCGTTCGGCAGCACCGGCCAGAGTGGCTACGGAAAGAGGCACCTGGCCGCGCTTGCCCGACTCGGCTGGCTGCCGTCCTTTAGAAACCCTCATTCGTTTTACATGCGAAACGGTAGAGGGTCGTCGTTCCAGTGTGACATAAACAAGAGGACTTTCGCCGACACCGCCACCACCTCCGAGTAAGAGTCACGAATGTTTATATTGTGTAAAACGGTAATATTATTATCACGTTTCACACGGTTTATGTATGCGCGTGTGTGTGTGTGTGTGTGTGTGTGTATGTGTGTGCGAGTGTGTTTGTATTTTCTGTTCTATGAATCAGGTGGTCCATTTTCTCAGTAATTCAGGCTTATTAAATTTAAATCGAAAGATTTTTGTTTATGTATCGTTAATGCTAAAAATATCGAAATGTGTACTTTGGAATTTCACGACACATGTTTTCATTAGGGTTTTTATAGAGAAAAAATATTACACTTTTACCTGATTCCGAAATTAAATACTAACGAACAGTAATAGGATTAACGTTAATTTATATTATGCATCATTGATATTAAATTATTTCGATAGAGTGAATTTATATTTGAATACTAATTCACGAATGCCTAAAAGTGCATACTGTATAGCCTATTCGACATCCAAAGAAATCTGTTTACATCCGCTTAAATTCTATATAGTTCAAAGACTATATAAGACTACTTGTAAGAAGTAAGAACGAGTAAATTAAAAAACTATTCTTAAAAAAGTGGAGTTTAATACAATTATTGACAAATGTTGTATTTATGTATTATATTTCCCATTGTAACGAAAAAGTGTTGAAGTATTAAGTAAACACTAACATAACGATTTACTGTCAAATCATGTACATATTGAATCTTATCATAATATTATCAAACTGCTCCTAATACAGTAAAATAAGTTCATTTGAGAGAAAGCATAATCTCCATATGCCGTTTCTGTTTTACATACAACACGGCAAATTTTCGTTCAGTAGAACCAATTTTATGGTATTTAACTAAAAAATTGCCTATGAAAAAAAAAAGCCTATTATTAAACTTAAATATAAGAAAATTATTTGTGTTATTGCGTCAGTTTTTTGCAATACTTTAATTTTTAAGCAAGTTATGAGTATATAAAATATTAATGTTTAAAACGCTAATAATTCACTTAAAAATAAAATATCGTAAAAAAAACCATAAAATAACACAGATAATTGTCTTTCTTTTAATTTTGATCATACATCATTTCACTTTGATATTTAAGTTTAACACACAAAATTGGTTCTACTGAACGAAAATTTGTCATGTTGTACGTTTGTAAGACAAAGACAACATATAGGGGTGTGGTATCCTCTTAAGTAGGTATATTCTATTGTATTAAAATTGCATATACAGAGCGCCGTGTTAGAAAAGTGGTGAAAATAATAATTCATATAACACCCAACAATCAATGTACTCTTATATTTTAATTACATTTTTTGCCAAAACAAATAATATAGTCAATATTGAAGTATTTTTTGTATTATTAAATCTAATATTGGTAACCACATTAGACTAGATATTCATACCCATCATATAATAATATATATTTTTTTTTTTTAATTGAACTTAAGCCGGCAACTAGGGCCATTAGCTGTTTGTAGGGGTTATGAACTATGGTAAGGGGTAAGAGGTTGATACAGTAGGTTGTATTTTACGATTGTTACGGTTGATAGCAAACACGTGTATGTGTGGCAAGGTTTTTAATCACTATGATCCTGAGTGGTCACCCATCCGGGAGCTAGTAGCTGTGGTCGTTACTTACTCTCAGTAGCAGCTAACGCACCACGCCAAGCCACATAATAACATTATATGATGCGTATTAATATTATTAAATATGATTTCATCATTTTTTGCAATAATTTAAATAATATTTATTTAATTTATTATTTGTTATCCATGTATTATTAACTTAATGATTATTACAAATAAAAAGATAGAAGTAAAATATTACTTTTTTTTTATTATTTTTTAAATTTAAATTATTATTAAACAAACAAATAAATGAAAATCTAACCTAACCTAATCTAATCAAATCCGTAGATGATTTTTTTAATTTGTACACAAAGGCAGTCGATAGATATGAAATAATCAAATATACACAGACAAGGCCGTACCCAGAAAACAAATTTTCGAGAAAGGGGTTATACAAAATTAAGTGGTGTATAAAATAACCAACAAATTGTAAATGCTTTAAAGCAATTAAACATACATATATATTTTGAGCACTCATACATAAATTAACAAGAGTTGTTGATAATTATTTAAATACGTATAGCACATAATATTAAATTTAATTAAATTTTACAATTCAAATTTTAAATTTCTATTTTTTTCTTCTAAAAAAACAGTTGATTACTTCCCTAGGGTCGACATGAATATTTTTATATACACTAATTGATGTTAAGCCTATTAGTCTTTCTTTAGCGGTAACGTTACAAAATAATTCTTAATTCATCTTAGAGAATAATATCTCTTCCAAACGTTGCGGATGACATTAGTAAAGTAATCAGAACTTTTAACAAAAATGAAATGTTTAAAAAAAAGTTTCAGCTACTGTTAGAAACAATTTGTCTAAAGTATTTCGGTAGGCTATTCTGATATAAATTTATTTATCCCTTTTTTTTTGAAGATTTATTCAATTACTAGTAAATCAAGTCCGAAAAATCTAAATACAAATTAAGATCACTTATATTTATCGACAAATTTACACATTTATTTGGAAATAATAAATACAAAGATGATATTATTTATTTATGATTAGTAAAATGTTCTTTTAATTGAGTTATAAAATCATCAAAAAATGGGATCGTTATAGCAGTACTAACACTTTTTTTTGGACAGTCAATATTTATATTTATACGATTTTGTAAACGAGTAATTATTCTTACAATTTTTATTTTTTCTTGATAATCATAAGATTTTATAAGAAATTCTACTTTTTCAAAAATTGATTGAAATGTTTAGACATAAATATTCAAGCTCCTTTAATATCATTTCTACAACTTCAACTAAATTACATCTAATTGACTATAGATTTTTACGCAGAAGCAATTTCATTTAAAATTGGATATTAGAGATCACTAAACTTAAAGTAAATTAATTCACTGTTCAAAATAGTTGCATACAACTGAAATGTCATCGAAGATGTAGCGATATCTTTAACTAATTGTAATTCTTCTAAAGTGTCAACAATAGGTTTATAAACTTCAAAAAATCTTAACATTCCATCGTGATGGTTCTCTATCTAGCGTTTATCGCACATCAATGTCAATTTAGTCTACTTGAAACAATATTTTTAGTATGGGTTTTTAACAAATCTGAGCTCATTGCTAACTTTTGATAAAATTTCCAACACATTTATGCCTATACAATTTCTTATGTATAGAGCATTACATGAATGAGCATAAGTTAAATTCAACGAATGAGCACTGCGACGTGCGTAAAACGCTGGTGGGTTTTCTTGATACTCGTTTGTACGACTTTAACGTAACCACTCGTGGAAGCAGCGCCATTATTGACCAAATGAACAATTATATATTTAATGTCTATTCCAAGATTTTGCATTGTTTGTAATATTACTGATGCTAAATTTTGACTAGTTAAACCCTGAATAAGAACAATTTTTAAGAACTCTTTACACAAAACATAATAAAATATTTTATTATCTATACTAACTATATCTTTTGTATCTAAGTACTTAATACATAAATTTAATTATTCAACACGTAAGATATTTATAATTTCATCAGTTAAAACTGAAAACGATTTTGCTGCATTAATTTTATAAAACTAATTTATCTTGCATTATTTTTCCACAGATATTAATTAAATTATTTTGGATTTTAGGTTTAATATACATCGTATTTAATAACTGATTTTGAATATGATTAATTAAACTTTGACCTTCACGTGAAACGTGCATTCGTAATAATACTCTAAAATTACTATCGTTATGATCAGATTCGATATAATTTAAATTAAAAGGACTGGAGTCATCTCGTCCACAATAAGCTAACTCGTGTTAACCATAAAAATAATTGTTTGTACAATATGAAGAAGTTTCAGAAATTGGTTTAGCTCTTTCAGCATCAAGTTGTTAACTAATATCTGGTTGATTTTTTGTATATGTATGAAGTAAAATCTTCACTTAATATTACATTATTTTTATGAAAATATATTAAATCGTTATTTTATAAGAAAATGTCAATGTCTTTTTCTACTTATTATTTATTAAATGGTTTTGGAAACCACATTCAAATAAAACACAATATCTACAAACTACTTCTTGATCATATATTGTTGTATAAGCAAACAAGGAAAATCGTCTAAATCAATTTAGCTGAAACTTTAGATTTTGTTTTTCAACTAGTAACCTGCTGGTAGCAATATAACCCACCTCAGAAACCCATTTACTTATTATTAACTTAATAGTTTCTTACATTTTTATTTGAATACTGTCCAATTTCAAATATATTTTTCATTTTCAGTTTTATTTTCTAGTATGTTTACTTTAAGCTTTTTACACCCCCCTCTTAGGTACGACCTTGTGTTCAGGCATACGATAAACCATGTCTCTGTATATTATCCCGTATATTTTCTTTGTCTTCAATGTTTTATACTTTTTAATCACTTTTAAAATACAATATTAAGAAACTAAATTTAATTTAATTGAAAGACATTCTTTTAAAGTATTACACAACTTAATCAAAGACTGGGCTTATAATACGCTAAATTCTAATTAATATTTTTTTAAAACTGATGTTTCAAAAAAAGTTTTACAAAAAATTTTAAACTTTAGTAATTCTATTTCAACTAATAATTTCATTAGAATACAAACAACGCTATTATTAATAACTAATTTATATATTATGTATAATATGTATATATATTTTTTAATTTCTTTTTTTGTTGATTTTAAGTTGAAACTGTATCATGTAAAAATATTAAATTTTGAGGAAATTATTGAACTATTTAAAAATAATATAAAGTTATTTCTCACCTATACGTAGATATGTTACTCAATATGTTAGATGACTATAAATACGTGACGGCCAAAAAAGCCATTTGACAAGGGTTTTAAAACCACTAATACACGTATAATTTAGTGATTTTGTAGATAAAATATGATGATAGATTGATAG